ATATGTTTTTTTTTTTTTTTTTTTTTTTTTTTGGGTCCGCATTCGGCCCGAATGGCCGAACACATTCCCAAGGGGTCTCATACGTTCGGGCGTTCGGGCTTGGGCGTTCGGCCCGTCACGAACACCGGCCACCCTGCGAACAGCCGAATGCATTGCCAAGGAGTCCCGTACGTTCGGGCATTCGGGCTCAGGCGTTCGGCCCGTCCCGAACGCCGGCCACCCTGCCTATCTATCTATCTATCTATCTATCTATCTATTTATCTATCTACCTATCTATCTATCTATTTATCAGCCTCCTGATGAGTCGGTGAAACTCCAACGAAACAGTTTGTCACAGCCCCTCGTTTGTTGTCCTCTTCTCCCTCTCTGCCTACGGTTTACCGGGCAGCTCTGTTTTATATATCTTGTCCTCTTCTCTGTCTCTGCCTATGGTTTACCGGGCAGCTCTGTTTGACAATATATATATCCCTCCAAGTTCGGATGGGATCGGGCACATTGGCCGTAGTATGACCGTAGCATAAACAATTGGACCATTTCTTGATTTCTAGTCTTCTGAGTTTCCTGAGTCTCGTTGAGTGTCTGTCAGGCTCTTAGGAAAGTCTCTTCGGTTACTTCAGCTCCTTGGGCTGTGGAGGCAATCCCATCTGCGGATACAGTCCAGTTTTGGCCCAGCTAATTCCATGGGGAAACCACTATGAGCTGCTATTTGCCCACAGCTACCGTCTTCACGCGAATAGAACGTGCGGTCTTTATAGCTGTATTTGGTGCACTTTCCAGTCCACATACAGCTTTAATCACCAGGCGTTCCATTCCGGTGAAGGCGGTAGTAAAGCGACTCAGGCTCTACAATCTTTGACTCTATCTGATCTCATCGAACTGCTCCAACTGAAGTTCCTTTAGCTGCCGTTTTGCTCGTCAATCATGCTGGAGCTGGAGAGCCCCACAGACGACAATAAAACCTGCATTCTGGAGTGAAATGATCCTTGTACTGGTTCCTTCCAGAATATACAAGGGCTATGTTTTTGTTAAAAAAAAAAAAAAAAAAAAAAAAAAAAAA